GGATTTTGGGCCTTTGTCAAAGATCAGCTGACTATAGGTCAATGGATCTATTTCTGGGTTCTCAATTCTATTCCATTGGTCTATGTATCTGTCATTAAATCAATACCAGGCAGTTTTGACTACTGTGGCTGTATAGTAGGTTTTGAGATCCAGCAGTGTGACACCTCCTACTTTGTTCTTCTTCTTCAATAGTGCTTTGCTTATCCAAGGTCTCTTTCCTTTCCATATAAGTTAGTGATTGGTTTTTCCATATACCTAAACCTCTTCTTAAGCCCTTGGAACCTGGTAGAGCACTTTAGGTTGTCTCTAGCTGCTGGTTATGTGTTGATTGGTTTTGTCTTTGTTTTATAGTTTAATATATTGAAAAGGTGAAGCTGGTGTGTTTTATTTTATTATTGATTCAGGTGTGTTGGGTCACTCTGCTGTTTTCTTTGTGATGGTGGAATCACTGTGTGTAGTGTGGATATGTGTTTCTATTCTTCGTAAAGAGGGTTTAGAGCTCGAAGTGGGAGGTTTTATGGTAATTGGTTGAATATGCTTTCTTCTATTGAATGAGTGAAGTTATTAGCAGAGAAGGTGGAAGCAGAAGAAGGGAAGTTTGGTGTTGCTAAGGTCAGTTTCTAGGGCTTTCAGCAGGCTATTATTGATGACGTGTTTATTTGCAAGACCATGGCTCAACCTCAGGAAAGATTCCTATTGTTAGAGGGTCGTAAATTTCCACCAATTTCAGGCACACTCAAAGACCCTGCCTCCGCGGCCCCACAGCACCAAAGTGCGGCTCCAAGGCAAAATTCTCAAGACCACACTAAGCTGCAGTTTCTTTGCTCTCCATGCCCCATCTGCCCGCGGTGCTGACGCAATCCCGCCAGACCAGTAATGGCCGGCTCTGGAGTTTGTCTGTGATACCGCCCACCTGCAGCGCCAAAAATGTGTGCAATTTCAGCTGTTTTGGAGTCAGGGGAGTACCTGCTAGTGACCTGCGGTCCCATCATCCATGGCAAGGAAAAGCACGGTGTCTCCCACTCTGACCCAAGCCCACTCTGTGATCCACTGGGAGGGGAGGGAGCTAGCTTTTCTGGCACAACAGTGAGATCTCCGCCTGAATCTCAGCAGTGGTGCCCGTGCCCGCCTGCACCCAGACCACCCAAATTACTGACAAAATCAGCTCCTGGAGGCAGGTCTCTGCCACTGCCCGTTGGAATATTGTAGTGGTCGCTGGTATGCTGCTATAAAGTGACTTCGGGGATCTCAGGTGGCTGCTCTCACCAGGCAGACAGTGACTGCCCCAGGAAAGTTTCCAATGGTCTCTCTCAGGTGCCTGTCCATCCGCCGGCAGTAGCTCTTTCCTAAGTAATCTCCCTGTGCCTTTCCTCTAATTCTGCTCTTCTGTGTTTGGTGCATTCCGATTCAGTGAGCTGTTTAGAGCACCAAAGTTCCTAATTCAAGCTACTGTACCTAGTTTTCAAAGTCCATAGATGCCAGAGGAAAAAAAAGCATACTGCTCACTGGCGAGACTCCATTTTGAATCCTCTCCATCAGTAATGTTTTATGATTCCACCTGAAACCTATTTGAGTGAAGTCTAAAAGCTCTGTAATTAGTTCCTGAACTAAATCACTGTGATTTCCAATATCCAATCATCCAATAGAAGCCTATTCCCTACCCCAACCCATCCTTCTTGTGACCTCAACCAAAGACTAACCAATCAAACCACTGTATTATAATTTCTTTTTTCCACAGAGTATACCTGCTTTTAGCTAGAAATTGTTAGTGGAAGTTATCAGTACTCATCTATATGAGCTGGTGATTTCCTACATCCAAATGGGAAATCTCTGAATAAATCCTCTTAATTTCATTTTCACAGACTGAGTCGGTTTTCTCTCTACAACATACCATTCTCTGGGATGGAAGGAATCTGTATCAAAAATGTCAATTTTCCCAGTTCATGTACAAATTCAGTAAAAATACCAATGGGTTTCTTTTTTAATCTAGAAAATAGAATGTCATGGATTGAATTGTATCCTCCAAAAAATATGTGTCAACTTAGCTGTGCTGTGATTTCCAGTGGCTTAGCAGTTACATAATGATGTAATTTCATGTGATCAGTCAATCAGTTGTAAAGGGATCAGGGTGGGATGCAACATCCTTACTTAGGTCACAGTCTTGATCTGGTATAAGGGGAATTTCTCTGGGGTGCTGTCTATATCACCTCTTATCTTACAAGAGATGAGAGAGAAAAGTAAGCAGTGAGAAAGAGTCCTCAGTACCACAAAGAAAGAAGAACTGGGAGCAGAGTACATCCTTTGGACCTGGACTCCCTGTGCTGAGAGTCTCTCGGACCCACAGAAAGGTTAATGCCAAGACACATAGAGATTTCCAAGGGACACTGGGCCTACGATGCTGAAAGGAGACAAGGACCTTCCTCAGAGCTAACAAAGAGCGAAAGCCTTTCCCTCAAGCTGGTGCCCTGAATTCAGACTTCTAGCCTCCTAAATTGCAAGAGAATAAATTTCTGTTTGTGAAAATCATCCACTGTGTTATTTCTATTGTAGTAGCACTAGATAACTGAGACAAAGAGTCAAACGGTTTTATGGAAAAGCAAATACAGAAATTAAGAGAAATGACATAAGATATTACAAGATACCAGGTTATTTGCCAAAATAATTGAAACCATGTGGTACTGGTTCATAATTAGATAATCAAAACAAAAATAATAAGTATAAAAGACAATCGAATTGGAGCTCTGGTGGCGTAGTGCCTAAGGCATTTGACTGCTAACCAGAAGGCTGGCAGTTCAAACCCACCAGCTACTCCTCAGAAGGAAGGTTGGGCAATCTACTTCCACAGCAATACCACCTCAGAAATCCAAGGAGGGGTCGCTATGAATCAGATCTGACTCAACAGTAGTGAATTTGTTTTTTTGTTTTTTTTTTTTTTGGTTTATGTGTGGAAATTTAGTACACAATGATGGTAGCACTTAAAATCAGGTACACATAGCTGGATATTTTTTATAAATGGTAAGACAATTGGGTAGGTATTTGAAAAATGAAAATTGGATCCATACTTCACTTTATACACCAAAATAAATTTGAAATAGATAAAATATCTAAATGTAAAAAGTTAAATCTGTCAAATACTAGATGTATAAAACTTTTTTCTAATAATCTGAGAGTTTATATGACACCAAAGTCAGAGAGGTAAAAGAAAAACACTGAAAAAAATCAACCTAACAGAAGTAAATAAAATACTGCATGGGGGGAAAAAAGCAAACTCTAAATTAAAAATTGGTAAGAAGTATTTGCAATTCACATCCCACACTATAGATTAATTTTTTAATACATAAAGTGTTCTTAAAATCAATGAGAAAAAAAGACCAATATCTAATAAAAAAATGAGTGAGGAATTTTCATTCACAGGAATAAAAATATAAATGATTCTTTAAATATATGTAAAGATACTAAACGTCATGTATGAGAGAAAGGCAACTCTAACTATAGTGGGAGTGCATTTTTTCACCTGTAAGTCTAGCACTTATCAACAAATTTAATAACATTGTTGGTGACAGTGTGAAGAAATAAGCATTTTTGAACATTGCTGGTCAGAGTCTAAACCAGTACGATCGATATTTATGGAAAGCAATTTGATATCATTAAAAATAAAAATGTACATTACCTTTGACCAGCAATTCCACTTCTAGATATAAGTGAATATGTAGAAAAAGACATATAGCCATGATTATTTATTTCAGCGAAAGATCAAAAACAACCTAAAATACCCTTTCTTAGGAGCTATGTAAATGACACCTCCATACACTGGAGTACACTCACTCCTCACTTACCAACATGGTTAGGTCCCAAATACCAGGTCGTTATGTGAAAATTGGCATTATGTGAAAATAGGGGATGATCACATCAGATCACACAATAGAGTATGTTTTCATCACTGCATAACTGTCAAATTATACCATAACATAACTGCCAAATAATATTATCTCATAACTGCCAAACCACTGAGAACCATGGCTCAGCCAAGTTTACACAGAACCTTAACCTTCACAGACAGCGTTACTCTCACCTTGCACCTCAGCATTCATTATTGCCGACATACATCAGTAATCTGCAAAACAGTCAGATAGATTTTTTACTATTATCATTAATGCTCTGGTAGCATAGCGCTCAAGGCACTTGACTGCTAACCAGAAGACTGGCGGTTCAAACCCACCAGCCACTCCTCGGAAGGAAGGTTGGGCAATCTACTTCCATAGTGATACTGCCTCAGAAACCCAAGGAGGGGTCGCTATGAGTCAGGTCTGACTCGGTAGCACATAACAACAACAACAGCAAATCATTAATGCAAAATGTTGATAATAAGATAGTCAATAAATGAGGAATAGGTGTACTTTGCAACAGTGAAAAAGAAAACAATGTGTGAAATGCTACCAGTTTTATGTGAATGGAAAGAAATGAAGAATGCATTCATAATTGCTTGTGTGGCAGAGATTGTCTCTGGAAAAAGACAACAAAACTGTTAACACTGTTTATCATGTGGGCAGGGAAACATGGCATGAAGATAAGAGTGGGGAAGAGTTGCACTATATAGACTCATTGCCTGAGAATTTCATATCATGTGCGAATATTAGCTTTTTTCAAAGCTTTTGTTAATTTAAAAAAAAGTCAAAAATAGAGTATCCCATGACTCACCAATAATATCTTTCCTCGTGGCTCTCGGCTCAAAGTCCATGGCATATAAATCAGACACAGTGACTGTACAGCCCTGCCTGCATAGTTCATCCTCTGCCACTTTCTTCAGAGATCCATTTAAAGATCTGGGTTCTTGGTGCGCATAGACAATCAACACCTTCTTACCTAAATTAGAAGAAATGTTTTCTCTTTAACAGCAACTCATCTTTGTCTAAATTCAATGGAAACTAAGACAAAAATCCAATGTTTTGGTCCAGTACAGAGGCTGAAGCTAAGAAATACCAACCTTATTGTTATTATTATTCTCTAAATTTTTTATCGTGATTTGGGTGCAAATTTACAAAGCAGATTCATTTTACTCTCAACAGTTCATACATATTTGGTTTCACGGCACCAATTACAATCCCAGCAATAAACAGCTCTCCTCCCATCTCCTCCCTGTGACAACCCCTTCCCTGTGTTCTTCTTATCTATGCATTCCTGTCTACCCAACTTTCTCCCTGTGCAAATCTGCCCTTCTGATGTCTCATGGTTCATTGATCTAAGGAGTGCCTCTTCCAGGGGTAGTTATACAATCATTTTAATGGGTGACAATATACTAATTATGAGCATTTAAAAAAGCCAGTTATATCTTAGCTCATCATTACCCCAGTTATCTAATACACAAAAATAAAATGAGTCAAATTATATCTCCTAAAGAATAAGCTGGCAGTTCAAACCTACCAGCCATTCCCTGGAAGGAAGGTTGGGCAATCTACTTCTGTGGTGATATTACCTTGGAAACCCAAGGAGTGGTCACTATGAGTCGGGTCTGACTCGACAGCACGTAACAACAACAACAACAACAAAAGAATAAGCAACTAAATCTTTGAGGCAGGGGCAAGATGGTGGCAAAACACTCACATGCTCATGTCCCTTCACAAGAATGCTAGAAGAAAACAAGTAAAACTTGATGCAACTCATGGTTTCACAATTCTGACATCAGCTCAAGGGCTGATGAACCAAAGTGAATGAACCCTGTATCAAGAAAACGAGAATAGAGATAGTGGCAGAGCAAAGGTTCATATATCATCCTCACCTTACCTGCTAGCCTGGCTGAATATGGCCATCTTGGTGTGACTGCAGATGGCACCTCAAAACAGGGAGTGCAGGGCAGGAGCAACATAGAGGACAGAGACTGAGACAGAGACAATGAGTAAATAGCTCTAAGATGGAGTGGCAAGGTGGTCACAGCCTGTACAGGGATTTGGTAGGCCTAAGAGATACAACTGCATGTGCACAGCATAGACTTGAGTCCCAGGAACCCCAGGAATGTGCTATCCTTGGAGACTGGTGTGGATTGAACTGGAATTTATGAACATCCAGGCCAAGGGCAGGCAATCCTAGAGAAAATACAGATAGACATGCTGAACGCAGATCATTCAAAAATCCAGACTGAACTTTTCTGGGAAAGGGGTGCAAAGAACTCAGCAGACTGCTACTGAGACCATATCTCTCAGGTGCAGGTGCTGTCACTGTTAGGTGCCATTGTGTCAATCCAACTCATAGCGACTCTATATATAATAGAATGAAATACTGCCCAGTCCTGTGTCATCCTCAGAAGATCTGCTGTGTATGAGCCCATCACTGCAACCACTGTGTCAATCCATCTTGTTAAGGGCCTTCCCCTTTTTTTGCTAACCCTCTTCTTTACCAAGCATGATATCCTCCTCCAGGGACTGGTCCCTTCTGACATGACCAAAGTAAGTGAGACGATGTTTGGCCATTCTCGCTTACAAGAAGCATTTCAGCTACACTTCTTCCAGGACAGATTTGTTCGTTCCTCTAGCAGTCCATGGTATTTTCAATATTCTTCACCAACACCACAATTCAAAGGCATCCATTCTTCTTTGGTCTTCCTTATTCATTGTCCAGCTTTCACATGCATACAAGGCTATTGAAAATACTATGGCTTGGGTCTGTGCACTTTAGTCTTCAAAGTGACATCTTTGCTTTTTAATACTTTAAAGAGATATCCTCCAGATTTGCACAGTGCAATATTTCACCTGATTTCTTGACAGCTGCTTCCGTGGGCAGCAGTTGATTGTGGATCTCAGTAAAATGAAATCCCTGCCAACTTTAATCTTTTCTTTATTTATCATGATGTTGTATGGAATTTTGTTTTCTTTAGTTGAGGTATAATCCATACTGATAGACATGCTGAATGCAGATCATTCAAAAATCTAGACTGAACTTTTCTAGGAAAGGGGTGCAAAGAACTCAGCAGACTGCTACTGAGAGCATATTTCTCATATGATCTTTGATCTTTATCGGTAACCGCTTCAAGTAATTTTCACTTTCAGCAAGCAAGGCTGTGTCATCTGCATACTGCAAGTTGTTAATGAGTCTTCCTCCAATCCTGATGTCATGTTCTTCATATAGTCCAGGTTTTCAGTTTATTAGCTCAGCATACAGATTGAATAAGTATGGTGAAAAGCTACAACCCTGACACACACCTTGTTGATTTTAAACAGACTCTGATATGGGAACAGATCTACAGGATGAACAGTGTGGGAAGCCACCACACCACTCTCATCTGGACAGCCTATGCTGTTGACAGGTACACTAAAATATGGTGGCTTCGCATCTGGGGATTCAGTGGATCTCCAGGGTGAAATGGTTGACGGGCCTGTACCATTCCCTCTTCCAGCACAGAGAAGGGAGGCTCTGGACCCAGCCATCAGCCTCAGCAAGAAGCACCCATCATCCAAACTACTCACCAGGAACCAGCCAGCCTTGGTGGGAAACTCCACCCAGCCAGCTGGTAGCTCTGAAGCCAGTAGCAGATCTCCTGAGTTTATCCAGAAAGCTACCAGCAGAGAAAAGCCTGGGAAACATCCGACAGTCATCCAACAGCTGACACAAGGCACAATGAAGGCCACAGTACATAAACAGTGGGCCCTGACACAGAATGGTGACTTTGATGCAGTGTAGGCTGAGGCACCTGAGCAATCAGACTTGGGATGGTACAGCTAGGTGAATACTACTCAGGCAGGAGTTCCTATGAATCCCAGGAAGTAATGAGGCAACCACAGTATGGACTGGTGAGCATAAACATTGAGGATACATGGTGAATCTGCAACAGCTGCAACTTGAAGGGGGACGCCACTGAGAGTTTCTATTACCATCCCAGTTTCCATTGCCAGCTGTGAGAGATCATTCAGCAACAGCAAACTAATACTTCATATTTGAGAGTCCAGAAGGCCAGTGGTTTGAACCTACCAGCCACTCCTCAGAAGGAAGGTTGGGCAGTCTACTTTCACAGAGATACCACCTCAGAAACCCAACAAGGGGTCGCTATGAGCTGAATCAACTCCACGGCAGTGAGTTTGTTTTTTTAGGGGGGTTTACAGGTCAAGGCAAACTGTGTGATCTTGTTTTCCTGAGAGTAGAAAGTGAAAAACTGAAGAAAAAGAAAAACACAAACATAACTTTGAGCACATCACAGACAGATTTTCATCAGTGAAAGCAAGGAAGGTACGGTAGTAATTTTCATGTAGTACCATAATGTGTTAAGTGAAAGATTAACAAGTTTGACTTGAATTTTTTAGTTGATATTATGATTATCTAAAAGATAGATGTCAGATGTTTGGATGGGGGTACAATTTCACTACTAGCCATAGGCATTATTTTCCATAATGCCTCTGGCCTACAGCACAGGTTTTGGTGGTGGGCTCATGACAAAGGGTTCAGAGAAGAATCTGGTCTCACAGGTATGGCTTTATCACTAACATCATTGGCCTCTGAGCTGGGATTTCCTCTTTTAAAAGACTATGATATCATGTACTTATTTTTTTTCTGGAGGGCAGGCAGCTAGGATTTGCCTGAATTTGCCCTGGTAGCATCTAAACCAAAAAAACAAAGCAAAACTCACTGCTGTTGAGTCAAGTTGACTCACAGCGACCCCTCCTTGGGTTACTGAAATGGTATCACTACGGAAGTAGATAGCCCAGTCTTCCTTCCAAGGAGTGGCTGGTGGGTTTGAACCACCAGCCTTCTGGTTAGCACTCAAATGCCATTAGGCACCATGCCACCAGAGCTCCTAAAATATTAATGTCTTGATTTAAATTTGTCAGTGTAGGTCTTTGAGTAAACAAATAGCTTCAGGGCATTCAAGTGAGTGTAAAGGTTCACTTCCAAGAGATAATGATTAGCATTTTCATTTTAACTCCTCAGATTCTTTTGTTATAAAGGAAATCTGTGAGAGTTTAACAAGAGAATGAATAAAAATAAAATATCAACACCAGTACTTCTCAAAGGGGGGGGGCAATTTTGCCATCCTGAGGACCTTTGACAATGTCTGGAGATATTTTTGGTTGTTATAAATGGAAAGGAAAGAGTGGGACGCTACTTGAATGCACTGGGTAGAGGCCAGGAATGCTGGCCAACTGCCTACAATATACAGGATGGAACCCACAACAAAGAATTATTCTACCCAAATGTCATATACAGTGCCAGGTTGAAAAGCCCTAACCCACACTATAATGTGTACAACAAGTAGACTTATATGCTCTGAAATGGAAGAATTTCTATATTATATTGCTGAGTGAAGAAAATAAGTTGCAGAAATGTGTGTGTGTGTATGTGTGTGTGTGTATCAGGAGCAGAGATACAAGCAAAGATGGAATGATACCAAATTTTTTTTTACCATGGTTACTCCCAGGGCTCATTCACTTAACTGAGTAGCTACTACGTCCCAGTGATTATTCTAGAGGCTGAAGGTAGAACAAAGTGGTCATGGTCCCCACTTTCAAGAAAGTCACATTCTGATGGGGTTGCAATGAAGGATGAAACAAGATAATTTCAGACAGTGATTCATGTTATACATAAAACTTCACTTTGGGATTTTTTTATAATAAGTAATGCATTCAATTTCTAATTCAATTTAAATTTTAAAAAGCTTAACTCCACCTGAGACTATGGCCCTTAGACAGCCTTCAAGCCTGGGAATGAATTCACTCCCGTGGTTCTACCTTCAGCCAAAGGATAAAGCTGCCTACAGGGTGAACAACAATACCAGGGAGGTACCACTCATTAGGACAATCAACCATAAGAGATCAAAAGGGCATCACTTGCCTGGGGATAAAACTAAGAAGGCAGGAAAGGACAGGAAAGAAGGACTAAAGGAAATGGTAAACACAGGAAGGAAATGGGAAGAGTGCTGTTACATTGTGAGGATTGCAAGCAATGTCACAAAATAAAATGTGTATAAATTGTTGAATGGGTAACCAAATTTCTCTGCAAATTTTCACTCAAATCACAATTAAAAAAAAAAAAAGGTTTAATTCTACCATAGTTAACAATTACCTGCCATTCTCTAGAAATAGGAATTCTTTCACTCTGAATACTTCAAAGATGAGGGTCAGCTGTTGATCCTGGGCAGAAGGGGATTCAGTGTGGCAGCCCAGGGCTTTCAGAGAAAGCCACTCTCCTGGGTTAGCCCAACAACCTAGAAGAGAAAATAAACATAGGCAGAAGTGGAAACCCAGGTGGTGAGGTCAGATGTACTGGTCTCACTGCCACTTCCTGGATGACATGCGAATGTGTCAGAAGGCTTCTCAACACAGGAAAGGAGCCCTCTGGAAAGGCAGGCTGCAGAGGAGAAATCATACTTTTCATTTTGAAAGGGCTCAGATCCTTCTGTGAAAGCAGTCACCAAGAGAGGTCCAGAGAAAGGAAACACAGCCCTTGCCCTCCTTCCCTCTCCTCAAGTTCTTCCCTCCAGATGATTAGAAATAGGGCAGGGGTATTAGTGAACTGTCCCATCACAGTCTGCAGCCTGAACTCCTCAGTTAGGTTAATAGAGCAGGGGTGATATTACTAGTTGTCATTGGGCATTTTCCCTCATCTGAAAATGAAAGAGCTGGTTTAGACCTGGTTCCCACCCAGGGGTCTCAAAAGTTCCTGATGCAGGAGCTAGTGCTGATGGATACATTAGAGACGTCCCAGTCAGAGGCTCTTGGCCTCAATTCCAGCTCCACTATGCTGTCTTCACCTCTATAGCCCTCAGTCTTTTCATTTACAAAGTTAGGGACAAAGTTCCACCTCACAGCATAGCTGAGAAGATTAAGGCTCTAGAGAAATATTTGTTCTCCATAAGGACCTCAAAGGCATGAGGGAGACCTC